CACTCGCAGGGTCTTCCGTCTCCGAGTGCTGCTTCCTTGAGAAAAAGGGGTTGGCGGTTTGACAGCAAAAGTGTGTTTGGAGAGCCCTGCGGCTCACTTGTTCAGGGACCACCCAGCCGACATCAAACCCCTGAGAGCGCTCTGGATGAGCTCAGCAGTGGACAAGCGCCCGTGAGAAGGAGTATTAGCCCCGAAGTTTTGCCAAGGTGATGTTTTACTATACGGGAAGACGGACTTTTCCGTTATAAAAGCTCATAGTTAACTCTCAGGTAGACTCCCCGTAGGAAGCACTTGGACGACCCCATCTAAAGCAGGACAAAAGCCATTTCTTCATGGCCCAGTGTCGCCATGCGACTGGAAATAATTGTACCGGCTGCTTGAGAGACGGCAGACGTGGGTATACTCACCCGATATATGGCCAGCTGCCTCAGCTCTTGGATGACCAGCTCTCCCGCAGCTCTATTCCCGTAGCAGCATTTGGAGTTAACGAACTGGAGCAGGGCTGTCCTGGCCGCCTCCTCCGTCATCAGCGGGAGGCTGGGAGTTGACAGAAACACAACAGATTTTCAGCTCCTAACTCTTTTTCAAGAATTAGCTAGAAACATTCAATATGTTTAACTTGCTGCAAAAAAAAAAAAAAGAAAAGGAAGTGGAAAAGAAGGAAAAGAAGCTTGTTGGGGAGCACCCGCATCTTTTGCACTAATCACTGCCAGCATCATTTGTTATTATAGAAGAAGGAAAGAGACTGGCAACCTTAAAAACATCTCCGTGCAATATCAGGAAGATCATTATTGAAGAGCGGCCTACAACAAACCCGCCGGTGGGTGAACGCTCCCTTGCAGCAGGCGGGATGAAGGAAAGCCGCTTCAAAAGATTAGTGTGCAAAGTCACGGTTCTTGGCACGCTGCAAATCCGCAGCTTCTCTGTCATCTCACATGAGTAGAAATCTTGCAAAAAGAAAAAAGTGACCCTAAAAGCTGGTTCTCAAAAGCCCTCCCGGCTTCCTTTGCCGGCGGGACAAAAGCTGCGCCGGTTCCCCGGGGCAGAGCCGGCTCCCGACCGCCTCGCTGCAACCCTCTGTCCTTCGCGGGGTTTGTTTGTTTGTTTTTTTTTTCCATCTCTCCGGTTTAAAACACCTTTGGAGAGGTGCATTAAGAGCGATCACGGCAGCGTTTGCTCTGCGGGACGCTGGGCAGCTCCCTCCGTCCGGGGCAGCAGCGCCCCGGGGGCAGAGCAGGCTGCGCGCTTCCACCGGCCCCAGGCAACGCTCCCGCCGGCCCTCTGACAGCCCAAATTAAGAAAAATGAG